TGGGGTTAAAGGCCTAGGACAAGTCATCATGGCGGTAACTCTACCTAGCAGACTGGAGATCCCAAGAGCTAGGTTCAAAGAGATCAAACAAAGTTATGAATGACGGTTCAACATTGTCAACTAACTCAACCCATTCTCGTGATGAAGATAATATTAAAAAACGAGGTAAAGCATTAAGGCTTTTTGATGAGTCAATAAAGCTTAAAGTTTTTTAATGATTTGCTAAGTCTGGCAGGATATGACCAGACAGCGTGTCTTTAGGATTACACGTTTAGGAATCACCTATGTGAGTGTGAAGTGTAAGCCGCTTCAAGGAGAATGAAAGTAAAGGCCCATTCTCTAAGCACTCATGAAACCAGGCGGTGTTCATGGCTGAAACAAACACAACCGTGAGAACCATAGATGGTTAAGGATTGATTGTGTGACTTATGTTGTCTAGGTATACAACAAAGCTCGACGGTTCAAAGATATCAAATCTACCAATTGACCGAGTATATCCGATATAAGTTCACTACGGAAAGTTCAAAGGGAAACCTACTTATCCAGATGCAATCAATTCTTGTTTGTAAAACACACACACGTCCGTATATTCCTTTAAGTTTATAGCCATTCCCCATTCATGTGGGGGATTGTTGGGTTTGTTATTTAATAAATAATAATAAAAGAGGTGTGAATGGAAAATGGTGGGAAAAGAAATGGAGGGATGACCCGCGACCCGGTCCGGTCTAGCCCGTTTTTCTTTCCCGGATTAATTTAAATTCGTTTTAAATTTCCAGCAAAAATTTCCAACAGCCATGGCTGTTCTGAAACAGTGTCACACCTGTTCCAACAGTCATGACTATTCTGAAAGGTTGCAAACCTCTTCAGAAACATCACCAAGTTGGCTATAAATAGACCTTCAAATCCCAGAATATTTACTTACGAAATTTTCTGATTATCTTCTTCTTCTTCTGCACTAAAATTCCAGTGTGTTTTGCTGCCATCGAGTGGTTCGCTGATCAACGGCGTTTTTGGTACCAACACTCCGGTGAGTTAAATCGTTCTATCCTGGGAGGATATATTCCATAACCTCGGGTACTTGAGGGGAATAATTTCCTTAAGGACACACTGTGTATTCAGTGGGCTCGATTTGTTCCTTCAACGTTTCAAAAAATAATTTTGAAGTTCGAATATTATTTTTTAGAATTGTTTCTACTAACTTTCTGTTTTATTTTTCAGAAAGATTACTGTTTTATTTACTTACAACAATACAGATAAATAACAGTTCTTCCTTCTCATTGTTAATTATTTTACACTCATCAATGAAGTCTAGCAGTAGCTCAGACAACCTTTCTTTAGACAGGAATTTAATCTTGTCTTTGAGAAGAAGAATACTTACCTCTTGTTCATCATCTGATTCTCCGATGGCCATAAGTGCTTGTTCATCTCCAGCTTCATCTTCTGAGTCCTCATCTGATGTTTCTCCCCAGGAAGCAACCATAGCCTTTGTTGATCCTTTGTTCCTTTTTGGTTGAACCTGTTCCTTCTTCCTGTTCCTTCGTTCAACCCTTTCCTTCTTCCACTCAATTTCCCATTGAGGACAATTCTTGATCATGTGATCAGTCTTACCACATTTGTAGCAACCCTCACTGGTCTGTTTATCAGGAACCCTTGGTTTGTTGAAGGTTGTACCTCTTGAAGAACCCTTTCCTCTCATCAGGTACTTTTTGAAATCTCTTGTGATCATAGCCATTTCCTCATCCTCCAGATCTGAACCTTCAGCAATTCTAAGAGCCAGACTTCTTTCCTTCTTGGGTGCATCCATTTTCATGGTTTGCCTTCTCAGTTCATATGCAGTAAGGTTTCCAATTAGTTCATCCAGCTTGAGGGTAGCAATATTCTTTGATTCCTGAATAGCAGTGATTTTGCTTTTCCAAGAGACTGGCAGAACCCTTGTTAAAATCTTCTCAACTTTGTCTTCTTCAAGGATAATCCTTCCAAGAGACTTAAGTTCATTTGTCAGTGTGGTGAACCTTGTATACATCTCTTGGATGGTTTCTCCTTCCTTCATGGTGAAATTCTCATATTGAGAATACAGCAGTGTTCCTCTGGACCTCTTCACTTGAGGTGTTCCTTCATGAGCCACTTGCAAAGTGTGGCAGATTTTCTTAGCAGTGGTACAACTTTGAATTCTACTGTACTCATCTAGACCTAGTCCACACACAAGCCATTTCTTGGCCTTGGCATTCTTTTCCCACTTCTTCAGGTCTTCAGCAGTGCAGTCAGCTCTTGTCTTTGGCACATCCACTCCTTCAGCATTCTTCTTTGTAATTGCTAGAGTACCATCAGTGACTATGTCCCAGAGTTCATAGTCTTCTCCTATGATGTGATCCCTCATCTTGTTCTTCCACCACGAATAGTACTGACCATTGAAAAGTGGAGGCCTAGCAGTGGATTGCCCTTCCCAGTTTCCAGGTGGTGCACTCATGTTGATCTTTTCCTAAGGTGTTAGGCTCTTCAAGGATAACCCGCTCTGATACCAATTGATGTTCTAAACGTCAGTACCACACAAGAGTGGGGGTGATTTGTGTGGTACCCAATTTTCGCTCTAGAAGAACCTGGTTCTTCTAGGTGTTCTAACTACTACTGTTTGCGGAATAATAAGTACACAAAATAAAGAACACAGAGATTTTTACGTGGAAAACACCTGGCTCAAAAGGTGAAAAAACCACGACCTACTACTCAGTAGAATTTTCCCAAACTTCCACTAATATCACTGAGCCAAAACAGCATTTACAAAAACTCTTTGTAAACCTAAGGATTAACTCTAATCCCGTTGTAGAACACAGCCTCAACTGTTGCGACAACTTCAAGTTAGTTTATAACTTGAACACTCTAAGTACCTAATACAATTGCTTCTATGAAAGCTGAAAGGTACAACTTTAAACCACCTACTACAACTGAACTAGAATAAAAGAAAGACACAATGGAATTAGTTCTTCTATCTCGTTCAAGTAGCTTCAGGAGTGCACACTCAAATCTCACATAAATTGCTTGCAAAATCACCTTGCTCTATTGCTCTCAATTTAGTGTAACTTCTGCATTAGTGCAATCCCTGTAAAAGAGAACAATTATTGTCTTTTAATAGGTTAGTAATCAGAGTTTGATTGGAACTCAATTGCTGATCTTCTATCGTAGTTGAGTCCTTGAAGATCTCAAACTCCAACACTATCTTTATCCGGATTGTGTTCTTTTCATATAAGGAGACTTTCTCCCCTTATCCAATATGCAACCTTTTCGATCAGATCAGGAGATATTGCTGCTTGATCAGTAGGACTTATCTCCTTCACGTGCATCTCACATGTGTAGGTCGATCATGACTGTGCTTCACAAGATGGACCTGGTCCATAACTGAGTTCATTTGTCATTCTTCAAAACTTTACCTGTTCTTGGGCCAATAAGTAACGTCTTCAGCTTTGCTCTTGTCCTTTGAAGAGCTAACATTCTTTGAAGAAGAAGCCATTTGGATGAAAGAAAAGTTTTTCCGTTTGAAGGGAGTTGCAGAAAGGTTAATTAACAACAAGGAAGATTTTAGAAAGTTTGGAAAGTTATGGAGCATAAGGAGAGAAGGTTGATGCGTATAAATAAAAGTTTTGGCGGCTAAATTCATGGTCATGGTTACCTCCATAACCGGCAAAAGTTATGTTGAATCTTGGGATGTCGCGTGTTCGGGGCATTAAATGCGGAGAGACGTGCGTCTAATCAACCGTCAAAAGCCTTCAGAAGGAATCATAGTAATTCCCGCCAAAAGAGTGTTTCTACCAACTTTTCGGTAACACAAAGGTATGTCACCAAAAAGCACGGAGACTATCTGTATAGGGTAAAATATGCTATGCTAGGTGGCCACTTAAAAGAATGACACGTGAAACCGAAGGCAATTATCCCGTTTGGCACCGGGGGGAATGAGACTCATAAAGAGGCAATAAATACTTTCCGCCCAGTGGCATTAATGAAGAATATTCCATCGCATTAAGTTCATTGTTCGTTACAAGGAATTTAACATTTATACTCACCGTTACATCTTCATCAATGTCCCTTATAATTGACATTAAAGAAGAGCACGATCCTAGGACCTTCTTCCCTAGACGTATCTATAAATAGTAAGCTCTGTTATCATTGTAAGAACGCGAATTTTCTGGCAAACTAACACTACAATCTATCCAAACCTTCATACAATTTTATCTTCTTATTTTCTGTTCTTATTACTGTTGCGCCTGGAAGCTTCACTGCTGGAATCTTTATTTCTGTCATTTTGTCTTCATATCAAGGCTAAGTGTTATATATATTTCTTCAATTATCTTATTATTTCAAGATCGAATTAATTCACTTGTCTAGAAACCACGTATAAATTTAACTGTACCGTTTCACAAATAAACAAAACGACAAATTTATGATTTGTGAAACGCACTAGAAATAGGCATGTGTATATTTCGATCATCTTTTTTTTGTTTTGATAATCATGCTATTTCCGTGATTAAGAAGATAGCTACGTAATTCCAAAATTGTACGTTAACATATATAGCCGGTTGTCTCCATTCAACCAACAAAATTAAGTAGCCATATATATGAAAAATCAAATAAGGTTAATTGGACACAAAACTTGCCATGTTCAATTAATTGATAAACTCTTATTTAAAATGTCGTGTATATATATTGACTTAGTAAATCCAGAACCAGAAGAAACTCCTAAAGGTGAATCCTTTTCTTTTCTTTTCAAGAATGATTTAATTAATCTAATTCAGGTTCATTTCCCTGCACCTAACTTTTTTTTTGTCACGTTTTATTTCCAAATCGTATAGATGATTATTATGTTGTCTGGCTAAGAAAGCCCAAAACAACATTATATTACATAACCAGGATAAAACAGAAGAAGAAAATTGCGTGTTAACAAAATGATACAATTATATACATCTGAAGTGAGACACAAACGTTTCAAATATTTGGTTTGCTCGATTGGACAATTGAAAACTTCACTATATATGGCCTTCGAATGTTTTATGCATTTCTTATTTGTTATTCTCCAGTTCAACAATTTCAAAAACGCGTTGGTTTAGCTGAATTATTCCACGATTTCAATCTGGTTAAATAAAAAAAAATTCTCCTGAGCAATTCACGTAGGCAAAAATGGCTTTTGCAGTTTTTAATTTTCCAGCAATCGTCATGTCATCTAGCAAGTATAGGAGCCGTCAGAAATTATTCCAAGTTAGAGCTCAGGGCTATGAAGATGAAGGTATATATATTTTTATTTGTTTTATTCTTTTCTTGCTTGTCTGCTATTATTAGTGTATGCTTCTACAAATAGTAAAATGATACTGTTACCTACAGGGAAATCAAGGCATGTTGTTGATGCAAATTTACAAGTTTTAAGGAGAAGAATAGAAGAAGTGAAGATGAAAGAGAGATTGGAGAGGTGTTTGACATGTGAGCAGGGTTGGAATTATACAGCTACTACTAATACTGCAACTTTATATTATGACAAGAAGCGCAAGAAAGAATTGAATTACATAACTCACTGCGTTGAACTCTTCTGCATGGTTGGTGGGACTATTGGATTTACTATTCTTAGCTGCACTCTTTGCGTCTATCTTACTTCCCTGCTTATTCATTGATGTCTCTACACATTCTTTTCATGCTTTTTATTTGTGTTAATTACGTTCTTGTAAAGTTGGAATTTACTTTTACCATTAGCCCTGTTATATCCTCTCTGGCTGGGACACTTGAATCCATTTATTGATGTATCACAATTTTCGTTATAGCAGTAAGTAAGAATGGTCAAGTTACATATTTGGCCGGTCGATAAAAATAATTACATATGCTAAGCATATATATAAAAAATATAAATTAATTATGTGTAAAACATATATATTATATGCTCGTATGTTATATACTCCTTCCGCTTAAAAAAGAATTAACCTTTTACTATGTCATACAAGGTTTTTTTTACCATATTCTTTCCATATAATTTTAAAATATTTCGAATTGTTAACTATTATAACTTATAAATTTTTGTGTAGTTTCTAAATATGTACATTTTATTTCAAAACTTAAAAGAATCAATGTCTGAATTTGCCACGAAAATTATAGTCAGTCTGACCATCGTACTCCGAAAAGGTTCAAATAAATTGAAGTGAAGAAAGTATTAATATATATAAAATATATATTTTACTGACTTATTATATTTTGAAACGGTTATACATTCTTCCAATTAAAAACACTTTATCTAATGTGGTCTAGAAGCAAAATGAGCAACAATGGAAAGACATAAAGAAGGGTAGGTGGATTTAAACGAGCCGAAAGTTGTCATAGCCTATTGCAATTTGCAGGCCTAGGTTCCGTGGGTAACGTCAAATACTGGCTATTGAACTTGGACTTTTGAGACCTACAGTCAAGTGGGCGGACCAGGCCATTTACTTGGTTGTTGCTCAATTAAAAGAAAATTTTCACCTAAATGTATAATACATGCTCTTTTATCTTTTTCCCGAAAAAAATAATACTAATAAATACTCATTTCACCTCATTATATACTGAAGATGTTGGATTTTACTTAAATATTTGGGATTTTTACATACCTATACACTATTGCAAACTTTATTACCATCTCTACTCAAATTTCAATTTAATTACTTCCTATATACAAATTTACCAATTATATGCACTTTTGGAATTAAATGAGTATCCCTTTATATTAGGAATCAATTATTTTTCATCTGTATTCTCTCTCCCTCGTGCTCTCTCTCTCTCTCTCTCTCTCTCTCTCTCTCTCTCTCTCTACGTCTCTCCCTATCTCCCAATCCCTAATTCCAGTAATGTAGAACAAAGGAAAAGAGAACAGGTATTCCACCACTGACAACCATTAAAAAGCTTTGAAGCTTTGAATTCGAATTTGGGTTTTCAAAAAATATTATTTGTTTGAATTATGTGTTGTTGCAAACAATTGGGAATTCTCTCTACGTCTCTCTCTATCTCTCAATCCCAAATTCCAGTAATGTAAAGCAAAGGAAAAGAGAGCAGTAATTCCACCACTGACAGCCATTAAAAAGCTTTGAAGCTTTGAATTCGAATTTGGATTTTCAAAAATCATTATTTGTTTGGATTGGGTGTTGTTGCAAACAATTGAGAATATTGTTTAGAGTTTATATCTCAATTTTGAGGGTGTTTTGGTTAAGATTAGATTTGATTTTGGCTGAATTTCAGATTGAAGCTCAAAGAAGAAGAAGAAGAAGAAGACATGACATACATTATGATAGAATGTAAGGGTCCACCAACTTTTACAGAGAACCAGGTTCTTTATCAGGTTCGGCAGTACACACACGCAAAGCAGAAATTAAATGAAAGGATGAATTTTACGTGGAAAATTCCCAGCTCAACGGGATTAAAAATTACGACCTACCCTTGTAGGATTCCAACTTCACTACTGAGCAACTTTCAGATTACAACCTATGCAACTAAGGAATTAAACTCTTAATCTCTCACTAATTTGTAACACATCTGTTACAAGCCACTTTGCAATAACTCTATTACAAAGACTAGGGGTGGACATTCGGTACTTCGGTTCCGTATTTCGGTATGCGGTTTATCAATTGTTTATACCAAATACTGTACCAAAGTATTTCGGTACGGTTCGATATTTCTTATTTTGGTTCGGTATGATTACGGTACGGTTTTGGATTAAACCATTTTCTGCTTCATGGACCACAACAAAGGTATAGGTTTTGTCTGGTGTAGCTGGAGGAGTTTCAGTAACTAGAACGTTTAGTTTGTGTTGTAATGCTTTTGGTAACTGTTAGAACCTTTGCTGGTATGGTTGATCCACTTTTTCCTTGATCTTTTGCCTTTAAACCAGTGAAAATGAAAGTTTAAGAAGGTATTTTTATCAACTTTTTAAATTTTCCAAGGACGATCTTGATTTTTTCCTACTTGTATTCGCAATTTAATTTATTAGTTTTACTGCTATTATTATTACTCAATCACTATATTATTTAAATTTGGGTACTTGTTAAAAGATGAGTAATATTGTGTACTAGTCCTATTAAGGAAGACCAAACAAAATGAGTACAAAGAAAAGATAATAATATTTTCAAATAAACATAACTGTAGCAAGCATCAATTACTGTCTCAATTTATAAACTATTTCGGTATACCGAAATATCAAAAACCCAATACCGTATACCGTGCCGAACTACCGAAATACCAAAATTTTTGTACCGAAATACCGAAAAAATCGAAACTGAAATACCAAATTAATTCGGTTCAGTTCGGAATTCGATTTTTCAGATTTTATGCCCACCCCTAACAAAGACTTTGAAACTAGACTAACTCTAGCCAAGACTTAAACACACAGGCTTTTACCTGACTATGACTTTCACAACCAATAATGAGGAACCAGGTTCTCTGTTGGGTTTTATCATCCCCCAGTACAAGCCGATCTTTCTCAGAATGCTTTCTTCCCAGGGCTTTTGGTGAAGATGTCTGCAACTTGATCTTTAGCGGTCACTGTATTTGGCCCTCTTGAGTTGGACTCAAGTTCTTCCAATTTGTTGCTTGGTCCACAACACTTGACCACAACAGGATTCTAATTATACATATTCTGCTTCAACTGTTAAGAGTGCCACTGAATTCTGCTTCCTTGAGCCTCATGAGACAAGACAGGAACTCAGAGACTGTCTATCGCGACCCAAATCGATGGCCGCGACGGGTGCCCGAGTCCTACTTGTCAAACACCCCTAAGTATGCATCTAAGATATTAGCCTGAATAACAACTGCTGAATTACGAGAATAATGTTCATGAAGGAAATCTGCCAAAAAAGGCATATATACATATACGTGCAACATACGTAGGGCGAGCCGACAAGGCTGCTATAGACAACTATACACCTCAAAACTGGAAGCCGGCAAGGCCACATACTATCCAACTAGACATACTGTCTACAGACCTCTAATAGAAATATAACTGTACAATGACGGGACTGAGCCACGTCATACCCATATATATATATATATACCCATATATATATATATATATATATATATATATATATATATATATATATATATATATATATATATACAAATATATCGTACCAAAATCAAAAGCAGCTCCGGATCAAGTGAAGCACGCTAACTTTCGCTGATCAAGGATCCTAAGAAGGGGGACCATCAACTTGCCTACCTGCACCTGCGGGCATGAAATGCAGGCCCCGTAAAATAGGGCGTCAGTACGAAAAATGTACTGAGTATGTAAGGCATGAAAATCAGTACGTAAATGACATAGATAAAACATGGAATAAAGAAATCCATCTGTAAATCTGAATAACTTTCTAAATTCTAAAACATTTATAATGTCATGCACGTGCATATAAATGTCGTGTCATGCATAGGTATGGGTGTACATAATATCATCAAGCCACTAAGGGCATCCTATCATATCGTCTCGGCCACTGTGGGCAACATCATCAACATATACCAACTGATCAGGTGGTAGTGCGTATATAACCCAGTAACCTTTTCCCATATCCCATATACATATATTTACATATATACGCGTATATAACGTCATCTGGTCATGGGTTAATGCACATGTATAAATGGGTGAAATACATGAAAAATACATAATAATCTCAATATTTCTTCTGGATAAACTTTTTCAACTGCGTATTATTCTGAGACCCATGAACAGAAGATAATAATAATTCTCATGGGGAATCAAGAACATAGAGATCCCTAGTTTTTCTATAAATAAAGTCGTTTATGAAAACTGTGAATTTGCTCATTTCTTCTGTATAATTGGATCATGCCAAAAAGAAGGAAGGGATGGCCTTAACATACCTCGGATAGGGAAAACTCCGTATAATATTCTTGGCGAAGATTGCACCGTACTCTTTTAGAACCGCAAAATTCGGATGAAATTAAGCTTCTGCTCGTTGAAGTGTTTGAACGATTGAGCTTCTGTTCTTGGCGTTGAAATGTTTGAACGATTAAACTTCTGTTCTTGGTGTTGAAGTGTTTGAACCAAGAAGGAAAGGTTCTTGCTTTAGGATTTTTTTGGTCATTTTTTTGGTTCTGTTTTTGTCCAAATGAATGGAAACAAAGGCACTTAATAAGACTTGCCTTGTTAATACTTCAATTATCCTTAGGTAGACACCTACTCATAAATGTCTATGAGTCATTTTCTTAATTGGTGACCTTGTGCCACGTTTTTGGAAGGGAAGAAGGGATTAATCTTATTCACTTATTTTATTAATTAACTAGGTAATATCCCGTTACCCAGTAATTAACCAATTACCTTATAATTAAGAATTATATCAAATTACTTAAAATTCTATTTATTTTTAATATACCTTATACATCGTACTACCGTGGTCATATGGTACCTTGCATGGTACTAGTCCATAATTATCGGGTATTATCGCTCGACCCGTATTTTATCCCAAGTTGGCCACTTTCAACGAAGCTCGTTTTCTTTAATTCGTGTACCCTTTATCCTTCATGATACTTATTTATCACTTGTTATAAATAGCGTAACTACATTAACCTCAAGATAATCTCACCCCCAGTCTGCGTCAATTAACTGAAGACGAAACTTTTAACGTACGAAAACGCGAGATGTAACATCCTTCCCCCCTTAAAAACATTCGTCCTCGAATGTTTAGCTCTCCGGGATCTACATTACCTTGGCTGAGTCACCTTTGTAACAATACTACTACCAACATCTCCTGTAGAAACTTAATAATTCAACGCCACATAG